TTTCGACTTCTCAGCCGGGGCCAGCGCCGGAGCCTCGGCGGCCCTGGATTTCAGGACCGCGGACAGAGCTCCCAGAGCGGGCGGCGCGTTCAGCACCGCGGACAGCACCGCGGACAGCACGTGTTGCCGTCAGCACCGTGGACAGCGCCCCACCCGCAGCAGAAGTCCCCTTCTAGCATCGCTGACACCCGCTGCCTTTCCCCAGACTTCGCTGGCTCCATCCTCGCAACTTCCCGAGCTTCTCTCCCCGGGCTCCTGGAGCCCCTCTGCGCTGGTGGGGACTGGGGTCATTCTGTCCTGGCTCTTCTCCTCCCATAAATCTGGTGCTAGGGACAGCATCCAGGCTCTCTAACCCTCGTCCAGAACTGAGGTGAGGTCTGGACGGAGCTCAGCAGAAAAAGTAGGAAGTCCTGAGTCCCCCGAGCCCCTTGTCTCCCCAGCCTGCCAGCACGCTGTCCTAGACATGCAGCAGTCCCACTGTCCCCGGTGCCCACCAGCTCGAGTCTCCAGTGCCCCAGCTTGCTCACCTCCAGCGAAGAAGACGCCCTTGCGAGTGTAGATGCAGGCAAGACTCATAATGTGCAGGTAGGACAGCCGGACTTTGTCCGCTTCGGCCAGCGGCAGCAGCTCCTTGAGGTTCCGGATCTCGGCGTTGATCTGGTCGCGGCGCGCCTTGGAGGCGCCCTTGGTGGAGCGGTACATGGCCGGCGGCTGCGGAGCTCCAGCTCGGGCTCCCCAAGCACCTGCGTTGCTGTCCCGACGCACCGGCGGCTTCTCCTGCTTGCTTCCCCGTCTCTCGCTCAGGCTCTCTCTCTCTCCTCTCCTGGGCTCCGCTCGGCTGCGCTGCCCCCCTCGCCTGCCTCCTTCTGCCTTATATAGGTCCTGCCAGGCGTGGGGGGCTCGCTTCAGAGACGGGGGGGCGGGAAGGCGGGAGGCTGGGCTAAGCAAGCTGCAGCGGGAGCCGATGGCTGGGAAGGGGGGTTCGCTCCACCTCCCTCCCTGGCCTCCTACGTCATCCCATGACGTAGAGCGAGAGCGGGAGGGGGGCCGGGAGAAGGGGGAGAGAGGAGGCTGCGGAGGGGGCCGCGGCTGGCGGGAGCTGAGCCGAGAGGCAGGCGCTGCGTTAGGAAAGCCTGAAGCCGCGTGTGGGGACCCAGGCGTCCGAGTGTGTCCAGCTGAGGGAAGCGACAGGGCAAGGGTGGGGGCGGTCTGACGGTCCTGACCGGAGACTGTGCAGAGGGCAGGGAGATGCTGGACACGACAGTGATTTTTCTGAGGACAGAAGGGAATGGGGAGGAGCAGGGTCGCCGCAACCCCCCCTTGCTATTTGCAGACAAAGGTCACATTCACATGGGGCGGGGGGAGAAAGACTTTCCTGGGCCTCTGAGGAGTAGGTCACAGCTGGGGTTCCTCTCGAGACTGCTCAGTCTGGGAGTCCCTTGGCCATTTCAACCAACAAATCCCCTCCCCCCTTCCCAAACCCGGGCCTTGGCGATTTTTCAGGGGGAGTTACATGAGGGTCGAAGTCCCTAGGAGAGGGTGGAAAGGGGGTCGTGTGGGAAAGGGACCGGGTGAATTCGGCCTTGGTCCTATCTTCCCACAACCAAGAATAGGAACGCCAACACCAACGCCGGAGTCCGCAGTGATTCTTCGTTTTCCTGTCAACGAATTAACCTTAGCCACCGGCGGGGGAAACTGAGGCAGGACCCAGGGCACGGTGAGACGTCCCTCCCCCCACGGCCGGCCCCCAGAGCGAGCGGCTCCCCCGCCCGACTGGCAGCCCCGGTGTCCCGCGGGCCGGGGGCGGGGGCGGGGCCGGGGGAATCCCAGCTCCAT